CTCGGGCTGCCGGCCCCAACTGCCGAGCCCTGCTCTCTCTGGGGCTCGGGCTTCCAGCGCTGCATGGGGAGCGCTGGGGTTTGGGCTGCCGGCCCCCCCACTGATGGGGGCAGGGCTCGGGCTGCCGGCCCCAACTGCCCGCTCCCGCTCTCCCTGGGGCTTGGGCGGTCTGCCCTGCGCAGAGCGCTGGGGTTCAGGCTGCCAGCTTCCCTGCTGACCGCCGGGACTTGGGCTGCCGGCCCCGTTCTCCCTGGGGCTCGGGGTGTCTGCCCTGCAACCAGGTCCCACCTGCTATCTCCAATGCCCAGGGTCCTCTGTCCGCCATTAGTGAAATTTTTCTGGCGAACCCCCTGTAACATTCTGCAAACCCCAGTTTGGGAACCACTGCATAACAGGTATATGACCTGTTCTGCAACAGTTTAGTAAAATAACTATTTAAAAAACTAATGTACACAATGCATCCCCACCAACGTGAGATTTGGAAAAATGAGACAGAAAACCTCTTAAAATAAGCTTGCCACTCCATTACTTGTCACTTTGACTCCATGTTTTTCTCCAGAGTTTTTAGGAAAAATAGCAGTGCAAGGGAAGAAGTGTTCAGCTGATAATGTGAATACACCCAGGAATGTTCTCCTGCACAGAATCCAATTCAAGCCCTGTGTCCAGATGTAATTTAGTGCAACCCTCTGCAGATTCTGAAAAGGGAGACAGTTCTTAAAACCCAAAAGTGAAACAGGTTAAAATGCAGCAGTTCTCCATTCTCCCTCCACAGTCACAATCTGTAGGCCACCCAACCAAGAGGTAACAGACACATTGTTTCCTAGTTGCTTGGCCCAGTTCCAGAACCCCACTCTTTAAGCCATCTACCTCACAGTTAATAGTTCCTATTTTTTTTATTCCTGTGCCAGGGCTTCCACACATCTGACAATTCTCCATGTTCCTTGCAACTCTTCTTTCCTAGCCCTCAACGCAGCTTCCCCCTTTCATCTGCAACCCTGCTGAGCAGCTTCTCAGGGGAACCTCTCTCCAGAATCAACCCTCCTTTCCTTGGCTGAACCTTCCTTAACTAACCTGGTTCATCCTCCTTTACTTTAAGGACTTCTGCACAAACCTTATAATCAGCAGGGTTCCCTCGCCCTGGCCATTTTCTCCCACAGCTCTCACCAGTTCTCTCTCTGCCAGCTTTCAACTAGGGCTTTGTCAGGTCTCATACAACTACTGCAAGCTCCCTGCTCCTCCTTCCTACTCTCTTTTCTCAACTGTTGACTGGATCTTTATAGAGGACAGATGCCTTCTATCAGGAGTCATCCAGAGGCCACTAACTAATCATAGATGAACTGGACACATTCCCTCTTAAAGGTGCCAGTCACATTCAGACAATCCCCCATGACTACTTCCTACTAAAGGAATTAATGTAGTTTATGTAAATATTTTTGCAAAGAAAAAATGTGCTTAATAGGCATCTCTTGTTACTGAAGAGAAACAAACACTATTTAACAAATAATTTTCCAGTCATTTTTCTTTTAATTAGAAAATCTATTAACTTGTCCATTTCAACTTTGGCATAGAACGAAGCAGTGAAGATAATAATTCTATAGTCAAATTACAGTGGGAAATTTTATTGGTTCTGATTACCAGAATCCAAATGCTAACACAAAAAAGTCATTGTTATACTTAGCTCTTAGAAATTTTCATCTGTTGATTTCAGAGTGCTTTACACAGGAAGGTAAAGTAAAAATTCAAAGACTTTTGCCAGTTGCAGACATGTTAGAGAGATTTTAATTGTTATAGATTACCTTCCTTGAGATTCTGGGACATTTTTTCATTTTCCACACTCTTGCCAGCCATTTGCCAGCTTCTGTTGAAACCATCTGCTGTCACTACTCCTGTGCTATGCCTAAGAGAGATCTTTCATCTCAGAAATTACTACTACGGCAATTGGCAATGAATTGTGTGTTTAGTCTCCTGAGTCATAAATAAAGGTGTTTTTACAGCATTTAGATAAACGTTGACTTCTTTATGTGGAACTTCCACACTCACTGAAACCACATCTACTCATTGCTATTCACTTATCCAAGATATCCGTGAGATTTTGCAAATAGGATATAGTTTATAATTTCCTGTTTTGGAGTAATTTTAGCATTTTAATGGGTTCAGTTGAGTCCAAATATCTTAATAATTTGATACAATCTGTAAACAAAATAATGAAATATATGTCTAGGGCCTGGGTCTAATGTTATGTATACTGGTTTGACTCTGGTGTAGCTCCATTGACTTCAGTGGTAACTCTTGGTTTAAACTGGTGTAAGTAAGATCAGACCTCTAATATTCAGAGACCGCCCAGTACCACCCTTATGTTGAGTTGTACCTTACCCCACATGCACTGATTTTAATAGTACTACCAGTGGTGTAAGGTCTGACTTAGTGTGACTCAAGAATGGCAGAATTGGGCCAAAGGTAAATAACTGATTGTGATGAATGGATACAATCAATAGCAAATTCATTTATGAAGTAGTGCTAATTGGTGTTCTACTTAATAGGATTATTTATAGTGCAGCCTACAGTAATGTAATCTCTCACTGGACATCCATATTTACACAATAATTTGTATAGCTATATAACGGCATGAAGTTAAATTCCCAAGCCCATTAGTATATTCATGTAAGAATGTGTGTGAACAAGCCATGAACATGTTTAGAATAGAAAAAATATCAAGCTAAAGTTTAGATGTATAAAAATGCTATTTTAGATTAAAAAAAGCCTACAAAATCTATAAAAGGCTGGTCAGAAACATATGCATTTTTACACATTACAGTAGGAAGTGAAATGGGCTGTAATCAAGGCACAAGAACACCACAGTTGTTAATTTTACATTCTACTACAGGCCTTTCATTGTACGTAGATACATCTTCTAGTTTCTGAAGAACTTCTGTACCTTCAATCAGCTGTCTAAAGTAAAGGTGGAAATTATATATACATAAAAAGTCAGTAAAATTATAATTAACTATCTGATCACTACCATAAAGCTCTATAGTTTTAGTAATCTATTTGACCATTTGAGTTCCATGGTATTCATTTTCCAATACAATTTATGTTAAATGTGCATGATTTAACAAAAATGTAGGAACATACATATGTATAAATGATGCATATGGGTAGAGGATCAGAAAAATACACCAGCAATTTGAAGATCAGGAAACACTATAATTTAGTAGTGAATACAACTGTGTTATCTACCTTCAGTGCCTGTCAGTGGTCAGAGCAAGTCAGTTAGAAATCCTGAATTCCTTCTATTAGGCTATAATAACATAACTATAGTTTTCTCAATATGGCTGTCTCTTAAAATAAAGGGTTCATGTCTTATATGTTCTTTTCTTTATAGGATTGTTCTTCACAGCAGACTAACATTCCAGCTGTTTGCTCTGAAAATATCCCAATATTTAGCGTTTTAGGAGATAGAAAAATGCTACACTTTGAGCTATCTGTAGCTGTAATTATTCAAAGCAATATATGTTGCAGCATGTAGACACCTTTCCAGAATTTTGTGGCTACAAGTGTCCATGATATCTACTACTCTTCTTCCATTTCAAGAAGAAAAAGGTCAAGAGGAATATTGTCAGAAATTGTTCTGCATTTAATTAAAATGGTTTAGTCTCTCTCTCTCACACACACACTTTTTGAAGTCTTAGATCAGTTTTCTTCTTAATTAATCTGAATCATGAAACCGATACAACAATTTACAATTCTAAACTGTCCTGAGCTGCAATGTGTAGGGCTCAATCTTATAAAACCCTGTGTTAAGCTGTGTACACACGGGTTTGCTAGCAGTTCATGTAGAGAACTCTGCACCTTATCTTTGGCACAGATATTGGGGATA